CAAACTTCGATACAAGGTTATGAAAGAGTAATGATTCATCCCCCTTTTTCCCCCACCCCCTTTGACCCCCTCTCTCTCTCTCATTGGTTACCTTTTCTTTTTCTTTTTCTTTTTCTTTTTCTTTTTCTTTTTCTTTTTTTTTCCTGCTCCACCAATCACCTCCTGCCACGTGGCAAAGGGGGGTGAGGGGGTGACCCCGAAAAGGGGGTCCCAAGCATTATTCGTTATGAAAATAGACGTAAGAAATTTGAGTACTCCCTTTGTCTCAGAATAATGAGCCTGTTTTGGTACTGTTTTTTAGAAAATAGTTTTCAGTAAATTTATTTTTTTATTTTTCATATTTTAATATTTTTAATGAGTTTTTTTAATATTTTAAATATTTTTTTTAAATTTTTAGACACACCTAACATAAATATACTTAAAAAGTATAATATTTGTGAAAAAATCTTTAAAAAATACACTAAATACAAAAAAATACAAAAATACAAAAAAAAAATTGAAAATTCAGTACTTTTTTTCATTTTTTTGTGTATTTATTAATTTTTTAAAATATTTTTTCACAAATATTTTACTGTTTAGATATATTTAAGTAAAGTACATCTAAAAAAGTAAAAACATTACTTAAAATTTAAAAAATATTCACTAAAAAAAAACAAAAATACGGAAAACAAAAAACTCAGTTTTCAGAAAAATGAATTCAAAAAATTAAAATCAAATAGACTGAATAATTTTTTTGTTTTTTAGAATTTAACTTTTTCTTATGGTATATTTAGTACACTTTAAAAATATTAATTTTTTAAAATTACCCTTTGATAGTATATTTTCTGAAAATATTAATTGTCATAAGTGTATTTTTTGTATTGTCAATGAATTTAAAAAAAGAAATTCATATTATTTTATTCATTGATTTTTGAAAAGGAACTAATATTTTGGAATAATAAAAAATAGAATAAGAGATTAATATTTTAGAACGGATGGAGTATAAAATTTCATAATCAACTTAGCATTTTCAAGGGCTAAAAAATGGCTAGTATAATTTTGAGAAATTTGGCTATAAACCCCTCTTACCTTCCTTTTATTATTAAAAGGACCAAGAAAAAAAATTATACTTTCAAAACCCCTTTATAATTATAATGTCTTGTATAAAGGAAAAAATTTATTATTTAAATATTTTGTCAGACTATTATACCATCAACTAAAAAGACCTCAGATTTCAGATTTGCCACAAATCCAATAGATTCGAAGACCCTCAGATTGGCGGCGGTTTCTCGGTCAGGCGATGGGGGAGATCGACCGAGATTGGGAAAGGAAGAGGGAGAAGTCATTGATCTTCGAGGTGTACAGACAGCTCAAGTCGTAATGAACCATATCTGAGGTTGATTTGAAGGTCTAACAATGGTGGTTCTGTGTTGTGAGACAGAGAACAGAGAGGAGAGTGAGAAAGAGATAACCTCTCAGCTCTGGCTTACTTCAAATCCTCAAGTCTTCCACCACGGTGACATCAGGCCATGGAGGCCGATTCTGAGAAGTTAGAGAGAGAGGATTAGGGTTTGAAGAGAGAGAGAGGGCTAGGGTTTGGGTTTGAAGAAACATAGTGATTTGAAATTGTTTTCCATTAATGGTGGATTTGAGCAAGTTTTCTATAATTATTGTAGATTGAAGATCTTTTGCCACCTATGGTGGTTGATTGTTGCAAAGTGATCTCCATTGGCAAAAGTGAAGAAAATAAGTTGGAAAGGGAGATTGTGCTTGGGAGCTTCTGGTCTTTCGAATCTGGTCTCACAGCTTTTGTTTGGTGTTCAATCACACTATTTGTATAGATAAAAGGCTGTGATTTGTTCAAAAAATTGATTTGTTTATTTTCGATCCTCTCAAGTTCTTTTTTTTAATTATTATTATTATGTAAGTTTAGATCATTTTTCGTTGTTGTTGATGATAATGAAGAAACATATTGCAACAGATACCTTTTCTTTTTTCTTGTGTTGATGTTGATGAAAATGACACTTAGTGTGATTCAAAGTAGATACTCTCCTTAGATTATAGTAAAATTATAGCGATCCTGATTTTTCCCATTTGGTTGTTGTGTTCTGGACTTAGGTTCCGTGGTGTGGGTTGTTGCATATATCTTGTGTTCATCTTTTAATTCCATATATTTGAGTTTTAGGATGTGTTGGGCAGATTTGTTACAGGTTGGTTTTGAGTTTAAACCAATAGTTGTTGTCCAGAATTTTGCTTCTTTGCTCGAGCGAGGCTTTTTTCGCTCGAGCGAGCTCTTTGTTTCGGTTCTTCGCTCGAGCCAGGGTTCCTTCGCTCGAGCGAGAGTTGAGTGTTGTGTATGGTGGCTCGAGCGAGAAGTCTTGCGCTCGAGCCTGTGTCTACGTCTAGTTCTGGACCTGAGAGTTGCATTTCTTGGCTCAAGCGAGCTTTCCTTCGCTCGAGCGAGCGAGTTGTATGTTTTGAGTTTCTTCGCTCGAGCGAGAATTCCTTCGCTCGAGCGTGCTTCTAGGTTGCAGACCTGAAGCTTCGAATTGTTAGCTCGAGCGAGGATTCCTTGTTTCTGGTCGCTCGAGCGACCACTCATTCGCTCGAGCGAGCCTCTGTTATATCTGTACGCAGCAGCAATCCCCTTCATCACTTTTTGATTTCCTTTTCTCCCTCAAACCCTAGATCCGACTTCTCTCTCTATACATCTTCTCTCTAGGGTTTCATCTATTTCTAGAGTGTTTCTACCCTAGTCTCTTTGTAAGAAAGATAGAGGGTGGCGTGGGCTTCACTTTAATATGAAAATTTGTGGATTTGGAGCACCTTGAGTTTCACCTCTCTTCTCCATTCGGTCTCTTCATTTGAGGTAGAGATAACCTACTCTAATCTATGAGTCTTGACATAAATTTAAGTCTTTTTGATTAGTTGGTATTGTTTGGTAATTTTGGAAAAGTTAGGGTTTGATTTGTAATTTATAAAAGAGGGGTTCTTCATGTGTGAGTCAAACATGTGTTAAAGACTTGAAATTGGGAGTTGTTTATGAATTATGTGTGAAATATGAGCCTTGGGGGGAATCTTGTGAATAAGGGAAAAATGCCCTAATTATAATGAATAATTAATTTGGGGAAATGTGAAATTAGGTTGAGGATAATGAAATTGGGAAATTATGGAAGTAAATGGTGTAGTTGGATAATTTAATCACTTACCTATGAAAATGTCAATATTTTATCTATTGATAAATTTATTATATGTTTAGAAATAACTGCTTTGGGCTATCGGTGGAGGATAGTCTTGATTGTTGTAGACATTGTATGTTGATTAAGGAAAATTGAAACTAATCGAACGTGTTGTGTCATTGAATATGATGGTTGAAATAATACAATAAATATGTGTATTGATTGATCATTGTATGTGATGAAGTGCTTTAATACATTATATATGTATATTTGTTAGGGAGGAGATAGGGGATGTACTCCACACACATATGTGTTCATATACTTTAACACATTGTTTTTGTATCATTGTTTGGGAAGAGATGGGGGATGTACTCCATATGTGCTTATATGTATCTTTGTTTGGGAGGAGATGATGGATGTACTCCATATGTGTTTATATATTTTAACACATTGTTTATGTATCTTTGTTTGGGAGGAGATGGAGGATGTACTCCGTAGGTGATTATATGTTTGAATACATTGTATATGTATATTTATTTGGGAGGAGATGGGGGATGTACTCCATAGATAAGTAAGCTGGCCGGAGTGTTCGGGGTAAAAGTCCCGAAACCTTATAATTGAAGTGCAGGAATGAAGTTGTCAATTGAAGTAATAACTACGTGAGATGTAGTCTCATTTTGAATTGTGAGAAACGGAGGTGTTCATAAGTCGAGTTGTAGTCTCACTTAAATTGTTTGGGTTAGATAATGAACTATATCTAGGAATTAGATTGGATAAATAAGGGAGGTGGATGGAAACATATATGTTATACTTGTTGGGCTATGAGAAGGGTGTGAATTGGGTTACACGTGTTAATCACTTGTCAAATGATAATGTTTTAGTTATTTTTCATATTGAGTTTAGTATATCTCTACTGGGCTTTGACTCACCCTACTTGGGACACCATTTTCAGGTACCGGAGACGTGCCAAATTCAAGATCTTTGCTTAGGAGGTTTTCGGAATTGAAGTCTCGGTTTTGTTATTTGTTTTATTGATTGTATGTAAATGCAAGACGAGGGCTTTACCTATAAAAGTGTTAGAACTCTTCTTTTGTGTAACCAAGTAACAACTTGGAAAGATGTAAGCCCACAGGGCATTCTATTATTTTTGTAAACATTTGTAACTTATATGAAATACTCTTTTGTAATATTAACTCTGATGTATGTATAGAGATGTGATCTATCTATCATGTATATAGAACTGTTGGGTGTTGAGATTATGTATTATTTTTAGGGCATTACAAAAATTGTACTTTCAGAATAAAATTTTACTCTGTAAAGTTTACTATAAGTTAAAGTAAAATTTTACTCTGAAATTTTACTCTAGTTAAAAACATGTTGATTTACTTAACGATATAAAATTTTACTTTGAATCAGAGTAAAGTTTACTATGATTCAAAATAAAATTTTACTCTGAAATACACTGTGAGGATGACTTAATAGGAGAGTTGATAGATATGAGGGTAGTATAGTAAAATAAACAAGTTTTAAAATATTAAGGGGTTTTGAAAGTGCCTATATAATTCTTGTCATTTTGAAAAATATATCAAACAGTGAGGAGTCTATTACCAAAATCTCCCTATAATTTTGTGTGCGAAATTCAACCCCATTTTTACTCAAAAAAATATTTTTTTTTTCTCACTACTAACTTAAATGAGTATTGTTGAAGTTCAGTAATGTAACAATCAATTAGAATATTAAAGGTAAGACTCTTTTTCATATATTTTTTAATTATCAACTAATTATATAATTTATATATTATTGAATTTATAAAATGAATCGAAAAAGTGAACTTATATATAAGTTTCTAACTTGAGCTTAAAAACACCATTTTGGATACATAGATAGCTTTTCCAAGCACTCAACAAATCTTTAGTTAGAGTTTGCTTTACAACCAAAATAAGTACTTCTAAAATGATAAGCATATATATATATAACAATCATAGAATATAATAGAAATGCTGTGTATTCTAAATTTTTATTAAAAAAGTGTCAGAATTTTAATATATGATATAAATTTAAATTTGGTGTTGTGTGAATCACACCTAAAATAAATTTAATTCATACCATTTAAATTCTCAACACTTTTTTGAATAAAAATATTGAATATGCACATGTCTTGAAAAAGCCCATATATGACTTTCTACGCACAAATCTTCTTGGGCTTAAGCTTGAGAGGAAGGCCCATGGCTGGGTAGGGCAAGGGCTCACGAATGATGGGCTCATTTGGGATCATCTCAGCCCATTCATAATTTGTGACCAAGTGATGGATTAGCAAGAGTACTTCAATCCGGGCAAAATCTGCCCCAGGGCATATCCGATGGCCCGCTCCAAAAGGAATGTAAGCATAGGGAGGGATCGATCTAGGGTTCTCAAATCTTGATGGATCAAACTTTTCTGGTTCTGAGAAAATCTTCTCATCCATGTGTGTAGGAGATGTCACCCACATTATCTGCATAGTTAATTGTATTTCAATGAAATCGAGTTGTGTGGTTTGAAATACAACATCAAACTTATTATCATGTTTTGAAAACCCAGTTAAAGAAAAATTACTCGATTTAAAACATATACGTTTTCCAATAAATCATATTTCAGTAAATGAGAATGGTTGCTCCCTAGTCTAGGTGTGGAGCTTTCAAATTGTACCAAATTAATTATAACATTTAAACAAAAATAAAAGTTCAAATTTTGTCTACCCATTAACCTATTTAGGCTTTGTTTGGAAAGAAGGGTTGGGTTGGGTTTGGGACTATTTTAGCTACAAAAATATAAAATAAATTTTTTAGCTCAATAAGACAAAATATCACATTCAATCCATAATCATTACATTTTTTCTCTCACAAAAAGTCAAAAAAGCCAAAAAGTTCTTCCCAAATGAGGTTTTTTAGTCTCAGGCTAAAAAAGTCAAAAAGTCAACCCACTTTCCAAATGAACCCTCAATATTAGATTTTTTGTTTCTGTTCTTGTTTTACTAGATTCAATATTGAGTTCATGAATAGTGAACAAATAAAGTGCTGACGTGACATATTTGAAAGTTCGAACTAGATATTATAACCCATATCAAGACATTGAACTTTTTGTAAAATGAAATGTCTGAGGGCTCGAAAAGGAGGGGCTCGAATAGCCTGAATGAGTGTTTACCGGACGTTCGCCAGGACGATCGGGTGAAAACTTGTCTACCGCGATTGTCATTTTTATCGACCGCGGATGTCAGCTTCCTCGCCGGACGTCCGGCCAGACGACTGACCGGACATCCGTCCGAACGACCAACAAGATGAATTTTGAACCATTCGAGCCAAACTCCCTCTCAAGCCACCCATCATTCCTCTTTTGTAAATAACTTGTTAAATACTATAAGCCAACACTACTACATGTCGCATGTGTATGCTTTTAATCATTTGTAGATATAGTATGAGTGAAATTTCAAGAAGTTATTCCGTAAGCATATGATAATTTTTCGCAACTCTTCAAGTCAAGACAAAAAAGTGGGACTATACCTGCCAGCCTTTGGGAATGCGAAAACCAGCAAAAGAGATGTCTCTGGAGGTACGTTTGAAGTTGCCAAAAACAGGAGGAGTCATCCTCATGAGCTCTTGGGACACTCTCCATGTATACTTCATCATTTGTACATCACTCCATCCAAGTTTTCCACCATTTTCTTCTCTTGCCTTTTGAGCTTGTTTTTGCTCTATCACAATCCAAGCAAAAGTACATCATAAAATGCCAAATCATTACACCATGTTTGGTCTAACAAGTTTAATTTGCCATCTGACTTCTTTCAGAGGGTTTTTCAGTCAACTTCCCTAGTTGTAACATACAATTTTTGTTTGTATGGGTCTGTAGGCGTATATGATTTCAATGATAAGGTGGTAGATCTATTCTAAAATGTTAAGAAGACAGAAATTATTAAATACAGAATGAATTACAGACATTTACATGATTGTAAAGTCTACACTCTGTGAGACCCACAATTACGTGAGTATCCGTTTTTCATTTTATGTTTAGTTTCTATATTAGTAGTATTATTCTATAATGCTAACTTTATTACAAGAAATTAATTAGTGCAAACACAAAAAAATTCTTCTAAAATAATATATCAGTAACATTCACTGTAACAAATTAATGTTTTAGAGACAACAAAAATTTAGATACAAAAGCACTTTTTATAGGCGAATTTTTTTTAGTTGTCAAAAGTATCATTATTGTATTTTTAGTGACAAAATTAAATTTGGAATCAAATTTTTTGTCTAAAATATAATCTTTTTTTACCCAAATTGTGTTGTCCCTAAAGTGAATTTATTGGCAACATTTCTAAAATTTTATTGCTAAAAATCATTTTTTAAAAATATTTCAGGACGATTTTTTAGCGATAACCCTTATGACAATAGAAATCAGTCTCCAAATATTATTTGCAACAAATTTTTTACTTTTGGAGAAAAAAAAAATGTTTGGATCCTGTTTGGTTTCAATTTTCTATAAATTCAATTTTTTGTTTTTGTTTTTCATTTTTTTTTTGTTTTTAGTGAATATTTTTGAAATTTTAAGTATTTTTTTTTAATTTTTTAGATGTACCTTACTTAGATGTATCTAAAAAATAAAATATCTGTGAAAAAATATTTTAAAATTTTAATAAATACACAAAAATATGAAAAATATACTCTTTTTTTTGTATTTAGTGAATTTATTAAAGATTTTTTTCACAAAAATTATACTTTTAAAGTATATTTATGTTAGGTCTATTTAAAAATTAAAAAAAAAGATTGCTTAAAATATTAAAAATATTCAATGAAAACAAAAAAAATACGAAAAATAAAAAAGTAAATTTTTTTGAAAAGTGAATTCTCAAACCCAAAACCAAGCATACTTATAATTATAGTATTTTTGAAAAATCACATCGTTCTTGAAAAATTCATTTGTATAGATATACCTTCCAGCACCTTGCTTCTAACCTCAGCATCTCTGGCTAGAAGCCTCAGAAACATGCTTAGAACAATGGTAGTGGTGTCATGGCTTGCCATCATGAGAGTTACAAAATTGTCAATTATTTCCTCTTCTGGAAGAAGTTCACCATTTTCATCCCTCAGAGCAACAAAGGTTGAGACCATATTGTCATCAGGTCTGACCTTCCCCTCTTCCATTTCTCTTCTCTTTCTGCTGATCAATTGGGAGAACAATTTACATATCCGACGCCTCGCCTGCATCGCTTTTCCAAATGCGGTCCCTGGAAGGTTCAAGGGAATTGCCCATGTTCCTTTGACAGCAAGTATAAAATCTGCGAAAAGCGCGTCTTTCTCCTTCCCTTCTGGCAATCCAAACAGTAGGCTGCAAGTGACTTTGAATGTGATTCTCTTCATTAGTCTCACCCCATGTGTTGAATCCTTCCCATTGAGTTCCTGCAATGAAATTTAGTTCACATGAAGGTATCTAATTGACTATATTGTTCCTTGATGTTTCTTTAGAGTAGTGCTGTTAAAGCCGAGGTTTTAAGATTAAGATGGCGAGAATTGATTGGTCAGTGTTACAGCAGACTGATAGCGTTGTCCAACACCTCAATTAATATCAAGCTGACTAATAGCTTGCATATCATCCTTTTCATTTCTCTAATGCTGTATTTGGTTGGGAATTTATGAAGGGATTTAGAAATAAAAAAGAAAAAGGTGTGTGAAGTTAAGTGAAATATAAGTATATTTTATTTTTATTTCACCTACCTTTTCTCTTTTCCTTTTCAAATTCCTTCTCAAATTCCCTAACCAGTGTAATTTAAATCAGGTAAAAGGCGTTTAATAGACAATATTATTTTTTTCATTTTTCTAAGGAGAGTGCTTTCAACGTTTGCAAGCTTTAACATGCCGAGCTCTGATTGGTTAGTTTTAGTGTACACCCAAATACAATGCTGACCAATCAATATTGTTCAACACATTAGTCGATTTCAAGGTGGAGCTATTCAAGCTATTGGCATATCATTTTCTTGTTTCCCTAATGGGAAGTGCAGACCATGGTGCAAAATTATATATTAATGAACAAAAACACTTTGTTAATCAACCAAAAATAAGCTAATTCCTTTAGGCCTTTTCTGACAAAATTTGAATTATTTTCGTATTTAATGAATTTTCTTAAAATATATTTTGGATTGTCTACTCTACACAGATCTTAAAAAAAAAAAAAAAAAAGTCATCTTAGAGATTTTACTTGGAATAGTTGTTGCTTCACTAGTGAGTCCATTTCACCAACAAAACTTTGAAGGCTCTCAGGCTTGAGAAAGGTCATCATTGCACCCCTAATAAGTTTGTGTCTTGATCCTGTGACCTCAAAGATGCTATGCTTTCCAAGTATGCTACTTAAAGATTGTGGTAGATTGCTAACAAAGCCATTATCACCCCCACTGAACACTAACTTATTACCAGCTTGCCCAGTGATGACAATCGCCTTTGAACCGATCAATGAGGTCTTAAACACCGGTCCATACTTGGTGATGCGGTCTGCGATCCATTGGACTGTTGTGTCTTGCTTCTGAGCCTTGAGAAAACTTAGGGTTTCTCCAACAAATGGAAACCCCAAGGATCCAGGCGGGAGGTTTTTGCCTCGTTGAAGAGAGACTTTGAGCTTGAAGTACGCTCCAAGTAGGGCTATAATGGTCAATAGAATAATAGTTTGAAATGGAAGTTTTGAATCAAGAGAGGGAACTTCAAGGTTAGAAGGAACCTCCATTGTCACTTGGTATGTAGATGAAGATGCATGTTGGGGTTTATATAGAGAGAAAATCTTAGAACTAATAAATAAATCATAAAATAGTCTTAGAATTAGGGATAAGTGTCATGTTGTGTTGGTAGTATTTGTGTCATATTAAAATTATTTCAACACTAACTCAATCCATTTATTTTTCGTATTATTGTGTTGTGTTATTTTTCATTCATGTTCGATTCATGTTGTGTTAACGAATAATATCAAAAAAATTTATTCTCAGTTAAAAATACCAAGTATATGGCAAACCTACAAATTTTCTTCACTAATTTAATTTGATGAAACTAATTTCTTCTAAATAAACTTATTTATAAAAATATTTGATCAATTTCATTTTCCTATTTTACATTTTTTTATTTAGTTGGATTAAGTTATACGGAGTTTTAATAAAAAATGTCCTAACACCCTTTAGTGAAAATAGTATCAAAATGTTATTAAACAGGTTACTTATATCAACTTTTGTTATTTAAGTTTACTCTAATTTGACTCATATAGTATTCATATTATTAGGTCATATCGTGTCCATATTGAAAATTAATAAATCATAACTCACTAACTTTGTGTACAATTCAAATTGGATAAAAAATTCTCCGCCTCATGTAGACAAGGATAGGTGGTACGTTGAACCAAGGGGCTTTAGCCTAGTTGGCTAACCAGTTGGCTATTAAGAGTTGGCTAACCACTATTAAGTCTCTCTTAAGGGGGAGGGCTTGGATTCCACTCTTAGGAGTAGAATGGGAGAACAATTTTTTTACAAGGTGTATGGATGTGAGTTTTAACTCTCTCAAGTTGTAATCTAATAATTAATCACTAACTTTTGCCAATCCAAAAAAAGAAAAAGAAAAAAGAAAGATGGGTGTTCCGTTGGATCTAATTTTTTATTTTTATTTTTATTTATTTTTTTCTTTTGGTTTGATTTTAAGAAGTGAATGTGAGTTTAGGCGATTGAAACAATGATACCAATGGATGCTTATAACAGGTTCACAAGAAGCTACAAACACATGTTTTGTCATAATTAAACTCCAACAGCTATGAGTTTGGATAGCTTACATTAACGGTCTTTTTTAATATTTTTTTACCAAAATTTAGTTTACAAATATAAACAAATTCATGGCTTAAGTGTCTATGCTTTCGAGTACTGATATTGAATTGTTGATTACTAATTCATTAAAAGTTTAAACTTGCTATAATACTATATTGAATTGTTAACCATCAATTCATCTAAAATTTAAACTTGATCTAAGATCATATTGAATTGTTGACAACCAACTCATCTAAATATTAGATAGGTGTAAATTTATTATTTATATTTTATTCTCAACAATTGAGATTCAGGTCTTCAAAAAATTATACAACAAATATAATTTAATAATAAATTTTTAACAGGTTAACAAGAAGCTACAAATAATTTTTTGTCATAACTAAACTCCAACAGCTATGAGTTTGGGTAGCTCACATTAACTGATTTTTTTTATTTTTTTCCCCAAATTTAGTTTACAAATATAAACAAATTCATGACGTAAGTGTCTATGCTTTCAAGTACTGATATTGAATTGTTGATCACTAATTCATTCAAAAGTTTAAACTTGCTATGATGTCATATTGAATTGTTAACTATCAATTCATCTAAAAATTTAATTTTGATCTGAGATCATGTTGAATTGTTGACTATTAATTCATCTAAAAATTAGAGAGGTGTAAATTTATTATTTGTATTTTATTCTTAGCAATTGAGATTCAAGTCTTCAAAAACTTATACAACAAATATATTTTAAAAAACAAATTATTCATTTTTTTAAAATACAAATGTGATTGAAACATGTGGTTATAATTATCATAACAGTCTAATTTTTGTTATGAATAATTTACACGAAAATTCAAAAATATTAACAATCGAATTATCAAAATGAGACTTATAGTGGTGTTTTGAGATATTAGTAAAAAGCTAGTTTTTAACTTTTTTAGCAAAAAAAAACTAGCTTTTTGGATAGTGACTTGAGTAAAAAAGCTAAAAATTAACTTTTTGCTAGCTTGCAAAGCCGCAAATTGGATCCTCCAATTCTTTTAGAGCTGAGGACTCAAGCTAAGTTACATTTTTTTAAAAAACTAATTTAGGGAATTAGTAACTGAAGAACAATTGAATCCTTTTATTCAGTTATTTATGATCAGTACCATTGTATATTTATACAGATATCATGTAACAAACTTCTAACAAACTATAACAAACTCTAACTAATCTTTGAGTTAACAAACTCTAATTACTAACTAACCTGGGTTCAACAAACTAACTACTGAACTAACTAAACAAACTAACTACTGAACTAACTAAACAAACTAACTACTGAACTAACTAAACAAACTAACTACTGAACTAACTAAACAAACTAACTACTGAACTAACTAAACAAACTAACTACTGAACTAACTAAACAAACTAACTACTGAACTAACTAAACAAACTAACTACTGAACTAACTAAACAAACTAACTACTGAACTAACTATCTTGAGGTCTTGAGCTTGCTGCAGAGCCATCTGATGCAGAGAGAGTCTTATGGGACTGCTGCAGAGAGACTGTTGCAGAGAGAGTCTTATCATCCCCCTGCAAGCGGATGGGAGGAGAAGTGACCAGCAGCTTGGACTGAAGGTATTGAAATCGAGCAACAGACAGTGGTTTGGTGAAGATATCTGCAATTTGCTCAGCAGAGGGTATGTAGTAAAGAAGAAGCTTCTTGGAAGCAATTTTGTCACGAATAAAGTGACAATCAACTTCGATATGTTTGGACCGTGTGTGAAACACCGGATTGGAGGCTAAGGCAATGGCAGATAAGTTGTCACACCAAAGAATGGGAGTGGTGACAATAGGGAGAGAAAGATCATGAAGAAGCATTTGTAACCAACTAAGTTCAGCCGTAGCATGAGCAAGAGAACGATACTCGGCTTCGGTGCTGGATCGGGACACAGTAGGCTGCTTTTTAGCAGACCAAGATGTCGGCCAGTACCACGAAAAGAGCCTCGATAGCCTCCTCTCTGATTTCGAAAAGAAGCTCGTCCTCCTCTTGAAGAAAAAGATCCACTGGTGGACACATAAGCTACTGTGTTTTCATGAGATTGTAATTTTTTCTGTTTGAAGTCTATATGAAGAGACTCAGAACACAAAAGAGATGATAAGTCCACCATGGAAATAGGCTCAATTCGAGCACGGACAGCAGTTTTAAGAGCATCAAACTCATCCGGCAAGCCATTCAGAGTGATCAGTACCAAATCTTCATCATCCATAGGTGATGAAGCAAGAGCTAACTTATCAGCAAGTTCTTTGATTTGAAGCAGATATTCTTCAATTGATTTGGAGCCTTTGGTTAACTGAGTCAATTGATTCTTGATTTGATGGATGTGAGAACGAGACACCATGGTGAACCGGTTGCAAAGAGCAGTCCAGACCTCGAAACTGTGTTGCAGATGAAGAACAGAGGAAAAAATTGTAGGTGTAAGAGTAGCAGTTATACAACTGAGCAGATGAGCATCAGTCTTGTTCCAAATGACTCGATCTGGATTCAAAACTTCAACACCATTAGAGTTGGTGATCATCAATGAAGGACATGGAACTGATCCAATTGCAAAGTCTAACAGCTCTGTAGCTCGTAGAACATTCTGAAATTGACTTCGCCATATAAGAAAATTGGTAGAATCAAGTTTAACAGTGATAAAAGAATTCAGATTGGAAATCAAAAGATTAAGATTTGCAGGTAAAGAAGAAGAAGATGAAGAAGATGATGAAGTAGCCATATATGGATATATGGATTGAAACTATGCTCGTAGGAGCTCTATGGAAGCTCTGATACCATGAAGAACAATTGAATCCTTTTATTCAGTTATTTATGATCAGTACCATTGTATATTTATACAGATATCATGTAACAAACTTCTAACAAACTATAACAAACTCTAATTACTAACTAACCTGGGTTCAACAAACTAACTACTGAACTAACTAAACAAACTAACTACTGAACTAACTATCTTGAGGCCTTGAGCTTGCTGCAGAGCCATCTGATGCAGAGAGAGTCTTATGGGACTGCTGCAGAGAGACTGTTGCAGAGAGAGTCTTATCAGTAACCAAAGACACAATTGATAAGTTTCTTAAATAATACTCTCTTTTAGCGTTTTATTTTTTCGAGAATTGTAATGCATAATTTTTAATAGTGCATAAATACATAAATATATTTTAATTGTGTTATTAGTTAAATGGTAAAACTTTGACCTAATAATCTTGAGATTATGCCGATCAAATCTCTAGAAAACTATTTTATGTACTATATCAAAGATTAATGTGTACTATTTTGACATTTTTTAGTTCATATCTAACTAGTACTATGAACTTATAAGTTCATATCTACATGTATACTCACATGTTCTAGTATATTATTATTAGAGTGTAGATCTCAAGCTGCCTATCTAATTTGAGATAATAGTTTGGATTTAGTCTGCACATTTTTGAGTATATTTCGGTAATGAATGGTTTATTTTGTAGGATTATTAAGTAGAATATTCATGTAAAACATAACATAATCAGATATTGATAGTTATGTGTTTAAGGTGTTGTTTTGAGTATTCTGAATAAGTGTACTTTTTTACTTTTTAGACTAAAAAGTTGAGGAAAAAAAATATGGTTGTTTGGGATAACTTTTTGACTTTTTACGAAAAAATGTGTATCAAAAAATTGTATAAATTAGAGTATAGGAGAAGCTTGGGCAGAGTAGGCAGTACGACGGACATAGTAGTACATAGGAGAAGCTTGCCTCCTTTTCAGGTATTGAATTGGACGGTGCTGTTCGGCTTGTGGGGGCCCATCACGGGTCCCTTTTGCTAATCGGAACCATTCAATGTATAGAACTCATTGAGTACTATATGCTTGTAAAAAATCACGTTAATCGGATATCAATAGCTATCTAATCGGTATAGTTTTTT